ACTGGTAGTACTACATTCGCCTATAGTAACTAACTTTATGACAAAACACTGAAACATTCTGAATAAGTTTTGCATGTACAATTGTTAGACAGATTAGTGTTCATTAGATGACATTTCCTATACGAAATCGTTTACTTAAACCGTATATTCGACAATGCTTAAAAAGCGTTTACGAATACGTAGGTGCTAATCACATAATGACTATTAATCTTAAATGGATTTTGATGGTTTGATCACTTGACCTTTGCTATGGAAATAAGGAATCGGAACAAAAGAATTTAAATCAAATTGTGGGTGGCCCTGAAAAGGGCCTTTACTCGTTCTCTTAACAGTTCCGAGTTTCATGAACAAAGGCGTTGCTATTATTCCATTATAGTTCCGTACATGGGACAGTGGATTCCATGGACGTGTGTTGATGGGTCGTAGGCACAAAATAAATGAAGCATTGCTTCGCATGGACAAAAACCCCAGGTACTTCCATCAGCAGTTTCATGTGGCGGTTGCGCAAGATTGCAAATATCATAAACTCTGTTGTCATACACGTCTTCGTTATTGTCGTCGCCTCGTTCAGTGAACTTCTCTGAGCTAATCGAAACAATTTCTTCCTCGTCATTCCTCAACGTTGCATCCATATCAACATTATTTTGACAGTTGGTAACTTACAAAATACGAAGGAAGGACATTGAGTGTTCACGGTAGTCCTTAATGAAAAATTAAAATAACACTAATTAAATTACCTCGTTCGTCTACTCGGGTGTGAAGAACCGCTAGATGTTCTACGACCATTTCTCCAACATACGAATCTAATATACGGCTTCCGATCTCTATGTAAATGAGAATCCCTCACCACATAATGGCAGTACGCAGCTGTTTCATAAATTCTTATGGAGCTCGTCAAGTGATTGAGACGTTACGACGTACAATGTGCTCAAGAACGAACAGGTTATCGGTTTCTGTGACAACGTGAGGAACGACAGAGCTCGCGTTCTGCATGTTACCACTGTCCATAATTGTGAGAAAATGTGCTCTGTTGTCATGTCCTGATACTTTATATCGATTTGAAGAAATAAACGACCAATTATAACGAACTCAAAACTAGTTATTTGATTGGACGAAACAGAATGAAAATTATTGGAAGATGGGGCTGAAAAATTTTTTCAAAAGGGATGAAAAAAAATTTCACTCGAAAAATACAAAAATGGCCGTGCAGTAAATGTTTTCCATAGTTGGTGATGTACTTCAAATAAGGATGAAACAACTGTTCAGTACTTTTATTATTGATATCAGTTTGTCAAAAAAATGTTTATTATGGAACTGTATTATGTTTTACAAATTATCCAACCAAAAGAATTAAGAAATTTAAAACTATTCATCATTTATAATTACTGATTCTTTGAATTATAATGCAAGTTAATTAATTTAAAATAACAACTATTGTAATTTTAGTCAGATGGTATTTCAAATTTACATTGTGTTAGTTAATTTATCAATTAACAGATATATTGTTAGGGCTAGAAATAAATGACTAAGAAAGAATAATACTGTTTTAATGTGGTAATATATATATATATATATATATATATATATATATATATATATATATATATATATATATATATATATATATATAAATTTGTCACTACCAAAGCCTACATGATGTTAACTTGCTACAGTATTCCAAGTTACAAGTAGCTCAATGTTCAGTTTAAACGTTTTCGTGTCAGAATATTATTTTTTTTATTGTATTACTATACATAACATCTGAGTAAAGTTGTAAACGACTGATGTTTAAGAAAGTGAAAATAATCATGTTTTCCCAAAATTTAACAAAATAATCTTTGAGTAAATTTATCTCATTTTAAGATAAACATGAAGATTCATGCACAAAAAAAAGAAAGAACATGGATTTTAAAAAATTCGAGGAAAAGTACAACAACAGTGTACTGTGTAATCATTTTTGACAAGTTTGAAACTTATATTCAAGTCTGTACTAATCATGAAAGAGGATTCTTATTGCTGATGCTGTAGTGAACAGAACACGGGTGGGGTCAACCGAATGCAATAAGTAAAAAATGCCATAGTTACTCGGTAAATTAGAAATACCAAATAGTAAATCGTTAATTTGCAAAATATCACTTCATCATATCAAACCGAACTGTTGCCGTTGCAAATATCAATCCATTGTCTCACATTTCATTGTTCATGCGGTTTCTTACAAATTGCGTTGTGTTCTCGCTCTTCCTTTCTTGATCTTCCCTCATCTGTTGCCGGACATTACGTTCTTTAACTTGCGTTATGTACTACTTATATTAATATAAGTAGGACGCACCACAATATTACTTATTATTTTACAATGTTAGTAGTAGAATTAACTCAAATAATTATGAATATTAAAGCATTCTAGTAGGAATTGAACTTGACTCTTGATTTTGAACAAAATAAAAGTGAATTTAACCGGAAATGAATAGCTACATGCTGAATAATATTTCGCTTGATCTGAAACCACTTTCAAATTCCAAAATACAATAATTTAAAACAAGTTTGATCGATGGTAGATACCTCTATACTACTGAAGAGAATATACGAAAAGTTACAGCGACACACCTTATTTGTACTTATAAAAGATTTAATTATTTTAATACTTCTATTATTGATTTGATAATCATTGCGGATGGTATGAACTTCTGTTGTTGAGTTCATTTGAGTTACTCAAGTTCCACAAGATTATCAGGTTTTCTTGTGCGGCTTGGACCACTTAATCTAATTCTATTGACATCTCACTACACCAACATATATACAAAATCAACTGTACCTTTTCACACTACAAATATCACATTTTTCAAACCCTCTGAAATGCAGACGGATACTAAACATAACTCACAAAAATCACCTTGACCGGGGTGACACAACATCAGTCTGTCTAAGCTTTCTTCTTGATTGCTTTAGACGGTACTAAATACTTCCACTTTTATCTAGTGTAAGTCTACAACATTACGTGAGTCATATGAAGTGTACTGTTAATCATCTGGAATTTATTATATTTAGTGTATCCGCAACAGTGGCATTCAGGTACATCGTTTAATCTAATCTGTGACTCAAAAGTAGGAAATGCCTGTCTCCTAATATTGATGTTTACACGGAGACTCGAACTCAATCCCTTTCGCTTCACATACCTTATGGCTTTTTCATTGACCTACTAATTCCAGATAGTGTTGTGAATGAGAACACAGGTGAGGACAACCAGTTTTATCTTAGTACAAAACCGCACAGTTCTTTCGTCAAGTGAGAAAACTATACGTTCAATACTTCATTTGCAAATCCTTCAACAATTGTCTCAAACTTCATCGTCCCTTCATTGACACAACAATTACCGTCTGTTCCCGTTCTCTTTGATTCGTTCTTCCCAAATTTTATGTTGTCGGGCCTTCCACTTCTGATTGGCGTTACATACTATTTATGCCGACATAAGTAGCATACACCACAGTAGCACCTAAATTACAAAATTGTGCTAATATTTGGAACTTTGTTCAGACACTAATATGTCTTAACTACGCACGAATCAAGACTTCCAAAGCAAAAGACCTAAGATATTTACCCATAGTTTGGCTTAGTTTAGTTAACTCCTGTTACCCCTTTGAAGAGCACAGACTACCGACCAGGATTCTCTAACCATCTCTGTCATGAGCTTTCCCTTCCGGTTCTCGTCAAGTGTTGGTCATTCAAAAGATTTATACCTCCAATTCCCGGTACATTGTGTTCTTTATTTTCTTTTCTTTTTTGAAAATCCCAAGTTAAGGCTTACTTTGTGGTGCGATTTGATGATTTCCATAAGGTGTGACCTATCAACCTCCTCTGTCTTTTCCTAATTTCCTCTTCAGCTGGAACGTGATTTATTCTCTGCCACAGTAGGCTGTTGCTAGTGGTCTCCACCCAACGTATCCAGAATATCTTGCGTAGATAATTAGTCATAAAAACTTGTGTTTTTTATGTTTGTTATAGTGGTTCTCCAAGTTTCAGCTCTTCACAGTGGAACTGCCTTGACGTTTTATTGAAGTTTATGACTCTAATATTAGCTGACAGTTGTTTTGAGTTTCAAATTTTCAATTGTAGAATTACTGTTCTTGTATTCATAGTCTAAAATTATAGTCAAGTGTTAAGATTATTTCTGTTTACAAAGAAACTTAAATACAATTTATGCTTCTATCATTGTAGAAAAACAGTTAACCTAAAATTTTGTAACAAAATGATTCAGAATTTAATATTGAATATTTTATGTATTCCATAATTTCACTGATTGAAATCATGAGGCAATTAAAGCTAGACCACCATGGAAAACCTGGAAGCACTGGACGGCCGTTTCGTCCTAGTATGGAACTCCTCGGTAGTGCTCATCCACAATCCCTCCCTCCGCGAGATTCGAACCCAGGACTTACCAGTCTCGCTCCAGGCGCTTAACCAACTAGACCACCGAGCAGGCATCCAATGGTGTTAATGTCTAACTTCAACCAATCCACGAAGTTGCGCCACCGTACACCATTGTCTTCAGTGAGTTGATATCTCACAACCGACCTGGTTGAACTGCACTGGTAACGGCTTCTCACTAGAACTCCAGGAGTACCTCTTGAATTCAGTCACTAGTGAGCTGATGAATATTATCAGAAGGAGTTTTGTGAAGATTTTAGAAATTTCACTGATTAAAATCATGAGTCAATTGAAGCTAGACCACCATGGAAAACCCTTTCTGATATTCCGTAATTTGAAAACTTCAAATTCTTTAGGCAATATGTTTTACAAATCAATTTGAAACTTCTTCAATAACTAGAACCTGCTTTCAATTGAAGAAAACAGTTTTCATATAAATCAAGAATACAATACTTATGAGTATAAAGAATATATATATATATATATATATATATATATATATATATATATATATATATATATATATATATATATATATATATATATATATATATATATATATATATATATATATATATATATATATATATATTTCCATAGACATCTTTTTTTTTCTTTTATTAACCAACCAAATCAGGTTTTCATATGTTTATGTTTATGGATTAGTTTATGAGTTAACTTATGAATATATACCAAAAATTGAATTGAAATGATAATGTGTAATAATGATAATAGAGTTTATGAACGATTAGTTTATGATGGTGAATAGAGGAAAATGAAAGCATTGAAAAGAAAAACAAAATTTATGTGACTTTTTGTCTACATATAATTTTTTTCAATGTATAGAGGAAATAAATAATGTAATCACAATTACTTTCTTTTTCTTTTTGGCATGATTTAATTCCATGTTAACAAAAGATTTCACTTTGTATAGAATGTAACAGATAATGTAATAATAGTCATCATAATAATGTGTATATATGATTATGTGAGTATATGTGTAGAGTGATTGATGCAGAATTAATTTAACCATGGTGATAATGTTTGAGGTGAGAATAAATCATTTTCACTTTCAATTGGTAGTTTTTCACTTGATTTGGATAATTGTATATATGGTTGAAAATGAACTGAATTCTTTGAGTATTCAGTTGAATGTGATCTAACTGGATATGAATCTTTATTTCTCTGATTAATATTTTCCAGATATTTACTTTCTGTGTGTTTATTCAATGTACCTTGACTACGACGTACTAAAAGACGACGTGTTGCGTGTTTCTTGCGCGAATTTTGATGAAATGGCATTGAAGACGGAACTTTACGATTTATTCGATCGATGTTCGAGCTATTTAGTGACGAAAATGAAGATGAATGTAAATACTTATATGGTTGACTGACACGTCTTTGTGTGCTTATTGTATTTGACCGTTTAGCTGGTGTAGATTTAGTTTGATGAAGTGTATTTATTTGATTAGTGTTCGAATTAGTTGACGATGGCCTGTCTGAAATCGGTAGTTTGCATAGCTGTGAAGGTGGACGTCTCATTGCTTTAAGAGCACGTTTAAGGCCCAAATTGGAACGGTTGATTCGGGATAAATACTCAACCTTGAATTAAAAGCAAACAAAAACTGAGTTTAGAATTGGTTTGTTGTTCACTAGCATCAAGATACTCGTGTTTTATTCGCTCATTATTCAATGTATGTTTTTCTTGCTAGTTGTAGTTTTTTCTATGAAGTAAAAACTTGATGTCGTACAGAGCATAACCACTGGGATTCGAGATAACTCCTACTGTATTATTCTGTAAGTATCGGCCTTTTATTAGAAATTATCTCATGAATGTCATCGTCAACACTATGATCAGTTGTTCTCCATTAATTTAACCTGACTATTTAATTAAACAAAAAAATTAATTAACAAAGACAAGGACTCCAGTGTTTCGAGAATACGATGAATTCACTGTATATCAATGCTGTTTCTTCAGCTATGTGGGACCTAAAAACTTTAGTTATTTGGATGAAACTGCTGTTTGGGCAAATAATACTAAGATTTGTGAACAAGTTTTTAGCTTGGTGAGTGTTTAGCTGATTACAGTCACCCGGTTATATTTATCTTCACGGTTGTAGGGATACCTCACGAGTTTTTTTATCACAACACTCTTTCTGGTGTTACTCAACCTATCTATCATTGTACTCAAGCCATATTATTTTACATCAACTTGTCCACACCAGGCCTCATTACTGTTTACGTTACTAATAAAGAGACATGGTACATTGTCTCTTGTCTTCATAGAAAAGGAATTATATGTCCAAAAGATCCATAAACACCATCATGTTCTTCAAGGCAACAGTTCTTTAGTGAAGTCCTATAATCTAGTCTCTTTTTGTCCAACAAAGGCTTTTAATATAGTTTTGAGATTTTAGCTAGTTCATTCGAAAAAACCATTATATTTTCATTAATCATTCTTGCTTTATTAAAATTTGTGAAGGGAACTAAATAATTGTAGCAAATTAATAATTCCCGATATCGTCTTAAGTTTACATTTGTAATATCTTCCATCAAATGATTATATGACACTGATTTCCTCATTTTTATTTCAGTTATGTTAAAGAATAATTCTATACAGACTTTGAACAATTTATAGTTGAACTGATTCTGTACAGTGAAAGAAAATCATTACATCTAAAGAAATCTTATATTTTCTTTGGGAAATAATGGATATTATAAGAAGGCAAGTAATGAACAAAATTACTGTTTATATTTATCAATCAAAATGGTGGTTAGCCTTTGGTTTAATTGTGCAATAAGATTGTAACTACTTATAAGTAATACGACGTTTATAATGTAATCTTAGTAAATCATTGAGTTATATTAGGTATTTTATTTGCCAAGTTATAAGAAATTCACTTGTTATAGGCTATTCAACTACTAGAATTATTATCAAAATTTACTCTTTCATATCTAAACATTTCATTTCTTCAGACATTTACTTTTAGGAAAAGAGAATGGAACATCATTTTCACATTCTAATGTGTTTTTTTTATACTGAAATCAAAACTCACTACTAATTTGTAGTAAAGCTATCATACGATAGTGACAAAAATCCAGTCAATCTGCATTCCTGTCCATTCCATTGGGCCTATGGACAAAATATGCTTATATAAAGTAGTAATACGCTTCTTCACTCAAACTGTCTGAAATTAAGATAATATCTGTCTCATGTTATACAAGCCACGAAATCAAAGTTATACTATGATCAGAGGGTGGGAAAATCTTATTCATTTGTAGAATAATCAATCGTACCCTGAAATGTTTATGTTTAAAATGATCCTCATATTTATTGACATATAAGGCAACTTTTCAACAATACTTCAGCATGTGTTCAAAGAAAATATTACGTAGAACTAGCCGTTAAAAGTGATTATTTAACATATACTACAGAATTATCATGAGATGTTATCGCTTACAACAATGTTTAATAACTTCAATAAAACACGATTTAATACTCCTACTTAAATAATTGACTTACATGTAGAACTCCTCGACTTGGTGATATTTTACCCATTATCAACCATTTTGTTATTCTGTTATTCATTGAATCTGTTAATTCATCCAAAAGATTGCATTCACAATCTACAGTGATTTTTAGATGACCAAAATTAATATGTTCTTTTGGAAGTTTAAGTGTTCTAGCTTGTGTGTCTAAGTACAATTGTATAGACCTATTATTGATTGCAGTTTCTTTATTAATATAAACAATTTGTGCACGTATCACTGAAAAAGAGAACGGAAATAAACATAGAATCGACGATGTGCTAATTTTTTATTAATCTCGACATTTTGTTTTATAGACGTGTTGAATGAACCTGACACTAACCCTAGTGTCATATTTACCCGGTGAAGCGTTTATAAGCGTTTATGAATATTATGATAATTAAAATCATTAAAAAATAAAAATAAAAATTGCAACTCATCGAAGTAAATATGGTAATTATTATCAGATAAAACATTCTGTGATATTTACTTAGAGTTCTTTGAGTTTTATACTGTTAAATCTCAACCATTGCCTTTACTTTCTGTAGATACAACTCTAGTAATGACCAGAACATTTAATTCATTTTATATTTTAGTTGATAGTGTGGTGCGTGCTACTTATACTGATATAAGTAGTATATGACGCGAGTCAGGAATGTAATGTCTGGTAGCAGAAGATGGGGAAGATCAAGAAAGGAAGAGCGGGAATAGAAAGCAATTAGTATGGAAATGCAAGAACAACGAAGTTCGAGACAATTATTAAACAATTTGCAAATTAAGTATTACAGTAGGGTGTTTTCTATTTTACCAAGTAACTCGGTAACTTTGTGCTTAATATAATTCGATTGTTCCCACCCGTGTTCTGTTCACTACAATACTAATAGTTGTAAAACACTTGGTCATTATAATAAGTTTTAAGACGATCTCCAAAAAATATAACTGGAAACAAAAATAAACGAATCTATTTCAACTTACCAACATCAGCCATACAGAAACTACTGATTGCACTTTCAAACGTTGGTTCCTCTACGCAACCAGAACATCGAAGTCCTATAAATCAATGAACGAAAAAATTACACAAATTATAAAGTGAAAATCAATAATCTAATTAACAATATTGAGGTGTTTACTAATAACACTTAATGATGTAAAATTAATTATTAGTGAAAACTTTCATCTAGATAGATAGGTATATTTGCGTATGCTCAAAGTATCAATGTACATATAATTAGATGCTATACGAAACGCAGTTTTTGTTTGATTGAACACACTAAAATGTAATCATTGATACGATAAATGGGTCATCTAGTTGATAAACATTGATAGACCTTAGTGCTTAATGTAATAAACTCATGTATAATCAGATGGATACATCACTATTAAGTTGGTATATTGTTAATAATATTGAAAACAAGGATGTAATATTGATTGTGTTTTTTTTCGAGAATATTCAGCAAAATTATTCATCATTCATCCTTGAAAATTACCTTTTTATTACATCTTAATTGATAAATTCAAACCATACAAATGAAGTCAACGTTTTAGGACAGATACATTTGTTCATGAATATTCTATAAACTGATTACACTTCTTATGTGAAAATTATATTTGAAATAATCTCAGCAATTGAAATTTAAATAATTTCAATGTTTCGTCCAGCTAAATTGTCTAGACTTCTTCAAAGTAATTTCAATCGCTGGTATTATTTCAATTATAATTTTTACGTAAAATGTCTTATTTATACTCGATACCCTATTTCTGTCAAACCATTTGTTCTAATCTTAATGAATATTCGTATTGGTTACACTCCTGTTTTAAATACAGTTAAGATCAACAATTATCAGAGTATAAAACTAAATTCATACTGAAAAGTGATAATAATAATAATAATAATAATAATAATAATAATAATAAGAGGGTTTATTATCAAGGTCAATACAAATACAAACCATTTTTCATAAAAGTAAAATAACAGAAAATAACTAATATTATTAAGCCAATATTCATTTAAAAATGAAGAATATTTGAGCGAACAATTGTTTTCAATAACTTAATCATCAGGCTCTACAGTTATAATGTAATAAGGAGGGTGTTATCAAGGTAATTACGATCAACGAATTGAGGATGATGGATGTGAAGATTAAGATATAGATAATCGAAAATAATAATAATAATAAGGACAAATTAAATAAATAAAAATAAAGGAACGGGGTAAGAGGTTTATAATATTCAGTCTAGGTATTCGGTGATCCAGTCGTAGTCCAAGGTAGACAAAGAGGCTGGATACATAAATTTGGTCTTCTGGAGTTGATCCAGATGGCTTTGGCTATGCAAAGCAGTCGTAGTCTAGCTCCTTAAGGTAGATATTTTGGAACTTGATATAAAACAGAGAAAGCTTCCTCTATTTTGATATGAAGTCCACTATCTACCAAGTGAGAAAGAATAGTGCTGTTAATCGATTTGGTAACACATTTTCCCAACCACGCTAGTACATGTTCAGGAACACGCAAGTATAAAGCCCTCTGAGTACGGCCTATGTAACTAGCTCCACAGGAGTAGTTGAATTGGTATACGCACATGGAAGAGCCCATCTTCGGTAATCTATCTTTGTTTAGTTGTGTGAGTACTGGTTTATTTATTTAATATTCTCTGTAAGTTTTTAACATAATGAATGATAAACAAATTTCATTCATTTCATTAGATGAAATTTTATTCTTACTATCCGAAATCAGTTTGATTAAATATACTGACAATTTCAAGTACGTGTCTTTGCTTGAGATGATTTAAGGACTTTAGTTATATTTCTATAGTTTCTAGTTTATTCACATCGAAACCATTTAAATAATCTCTCAAAAAACCTAAGGGGGTTATGGCGTTTTGCACGATAGGTAATAACATCCATATATTGAAAGAAGCTATTATTTAATAAACAACCTGCCTAGTAAGTTCCTGTAGGTATTAATCTTGGTTTTATCTAAGCAAGATATCATTTATAGCTGATCGTCTACTACGCAATAAGTATTATTAGGCCGTACATATTTTAATCACAAGTCAGTTTTATTGATGAGGCTTCTAACGTAACCAACAAGCTAAGTAACTCAGTATTATGTGTTATTTAGTTTCAGATTCGTTCAAAAAAAAGATATAATTTCCATAATAAAGGTCTTATATTGGTTAGATGTATATTGAGCAGGCGATAGCTGGAAAAAATCAGACTGAAAATGTTTTACCGTAGATTAAACCTCATGTCACTCAGTACCATGTATGTTTATTTATCAAATCATAGGTAATATTTCTATCTCACGAGATGACTAAGGTTCCTATCTCTTGAATGACATCAGTATTTATTATAAGCGACCTAAAGGTTCTAGCAAATAATGACTCGGCTTTCAAAACAATGTTTTCTGAATACTTGTAAATGTAGTAGTGTAGTTCATTTTATATTCCCTGAATAACATGAATTTAATAACAGTGCAAAGAACGTCTTTTTCATCGCATTTTATAAACTATAAATAAATTATAAGCAAAGATGTATAAAGGCTAGCAGTTGAATCCAGGACGCGCATTTCGTCCTATTTGGGACTCGTCAGCTAGAGGTGCCTGCATCTGAGTTGATGTTCCAGTACCGTTCGCTTCAAACGCCGTTGCGTTATCCACTTAGCTACTGAGTCCTGATAGCCAATAAAAGACAGATCAATTGTAGTCCTGAATATCAATGGAAAGATTCAAGTAAACAATCCCAAATGAATATAAATAAATGAGTTAGAAATAAAGAGTCATAATCAGTAAATAAAATAAAATGAGAATTTTTTGTGTAAATGTCAAACATTTTAGCCTTTCAGTCCTACAGATTAATTAAATCGTTTGATGTATCAGGATTCCTTTGTACTTGTTGAATGCTTGATTTTGAATTTTAAATACAGTACATTCGTTCGCGCTTGTCTAGTATTTCTTGTTTCAGTTGCGTTATTTCTGGGATTCTTAGTTTATACTACAATTCAAATACTCCTAATTATCATAGGTTTATTTCCAAGTAAATATGTTATAAAGAAACACTCGGACAGTAGAGAATTATTTTGTTTCTCTTACATATTGTTGATCATTCCTGGGAATGTATTAAATAGTATTTCATAAAACGGAATCAACTGACCTTACATGAATAGTATTAATGATTCAAGAATTTAAATGATAATATTCAACCTCGAGATTTAGCAGAGGTGGTACAAACGTAACATTTCATAAATAGTAACTAAAAGGTTAACCAAGAGTAATGGTTAAGTAAATATTATTTAAACAGAAACGAAGTTTATGCTAAGATGATAATTATTATTTAGAATTCTCATTATTTATTGATTATTTAATCTTTTCGAATGAGAAAAATCATCCAAAATTTAACATGAAACATACAATGTCGTTACTGCTACTAAGCATAATACATTCATAATCAACTCAGATTCTGTAGCAAATATGCATTCACTCAAGACGCTGTATTACATTAACATTATGAGGTGAACTTCAAAATACAAATGTCAACGAAGTTGAAATAATTGTAATAGCAATCATAATAAGAGAGACTAAACATTGAGAATACAGTATGATAGCAAGAAATAAAAGGAAATGTGTAAAAGAATTGCCCACAATTTACATCTATAGAAAGATATATACGTCACTGTGAATAATTCTGAGCAATGTCTCTTAACGTCTCTGACCACTGATTGGTTATCACGTAGACCGCAACCACGTTTTCTGTGACTGGCAACATGGCTCTAACTAACAGTCAACGACTCTATAAATTGATGACACATTTAGTTTCGGCCGCCCCTGGCTTTTTATAACATTGTAGTGGCTGTACTTCGTTGATCAATCACCCTCGTAGCCGTTATCATATAATCCTCAACGGTGTTTGAAATCAGAAGGCAAAGAGAAGCAGCGACTACAGTATTATTAGCAGGTAACTCAGACCACAAAGCAAAGGCAAATGAGTGAGTCAGCGGTTCGAAAGAGTAGAGAGTGTAGGTTTAAATGTACATGTATATATATAGGGAAATGAATGGATCATCGAATCAATTAGGCCGCTAATGATAAAGCTAGCTGAATGAATACATGCGTAGGCGGTAAACAGTGTTTAGGCATACATGTTGCATACAAGCACAACAATAATAAAGGCACAATAAGTTGTTAAAGTACGGATGTCTCTGTCGGCTAAATAAGTTAACAAAAGGGGGCTTGACTGGATTAAATGAGAACAAACTCAATTGCACGTGAGGTGCTATAACATAATCCTAATCCAACCAACATTGTTAATCTTAGTAGACTGTTGTTAGACAAATGAAACATATTTCAGTCATATTTATTTCATTTTTATATCATACATTTTCACTACAAAGGTCCATAAATAACGAGTACTTAAGGTAAACTGACCACTTAAAATAATTTGCACTAAAAAGTATTTTAACTAATCAGTTAACAATAAAACAACTTTTTACTAAAGTGAATTTACAGTCCAAAAAAACCAACATTAGTATTCAATACGTTCGCAATTCTTTAAATGGAATTAATTTTGTAAATGTGTTAGTCAATCTTAAGAATCATTTATAAACAAATGCTAAATTATAAATTTCTCCATTCATCTACTTAAAACAAAAAAGATTTGGAAACATAGTAAATCCTTTGATAGTTTAGTCCTATTTCACCACAGAACTTTCTATTTAATATTGAGTTTCATTTTCAACTTTTGAAATAACTATAATCTATTTACGCGCTGGGCATCTTTAAATATATTTCTTAAGCATCTTCAAGTAATAAAGATCCTGTCGAAGCTTTTTATCATTTCAATAAATATTTGAATATCAGAAGGGGTTTTGTGGAAATTTTACAAATTTCACTGATTGAAATCATGAGGCAATTAAAGCTAGACCAACATGGAAAACCTGGAAGCACTGGACGGCCATTTCGTCCTAGTATGGAACTCCTCGGTAGTGCTCATCCACAATCCCTCCCTCCGCGAGATTCGAACCCAGGACTTACCAGTCTCGCTCCAGGCGCTTAAC